AAAAAACGACAAAAAATAAAAAAAACACCAAATATCCAGCCAAACATTATACAGTGATCCTAAAAATGTCTGAACGTAATTACATTAGGAAACAAAACAACAAATCATGCTCATCTGTAAACAAGTTATGCTAGAGCTAAATTTCTTTATCCCTCAAAATCAGTCTCTTGGTTTATTATGTGATTTAAAAAGTGTCCAAACATGTTTTGAGTCCAGTGTCGCAAGTTGTGTTTACATTAAAACACAGGTGTGTGCATAACTGATTTTTCACAAGGAAACTTATGTAACAGCAATAACGGATTTGTACGGAAACTGTCGATTATCCAAAACAACTCGAAAACTGAGTGAAATCAGGAAACTGAATGAAGACAGATGAACACAAAGAGACAGTTGTTCATATAAGCCTTTTCAGTCTTCGAGTTGTCAAAGACATATTCAAATAGATAATATGTTATGGCTTTTTCGTAAATATGCAAATGAGAGATTTACATAAAACACGACCGCTCAAAGTGATAATAAATACAAATGGACCTGTTAACATCTTAACGCCAATGAATTCCTCATGGGGACAGTAAAAATAAACAAATTAGATGTGAATTAGATGTACTCTTGAATGATCAAAACCAATAAAATTCAACGTGTGAAATAGGGGTGAAATATGTGTGATCTGACGTTATTGAGTATTTCCATCACTTTACAAAAAACACACCTAGAGAGCGTATGCATACACTATACATGATGTAGTCTAGTTAGATTAGTGCACTAGTGGATTTAGAGTTCACTACGTCATTTAGTCTATTAAAATGCATTAAAAATGCCCTCAATATTCAAGATAAGGGGGCAAAAATACTCTGTGCCCCAATATCAGTATGATTACAAATACGATATTGGTTTAATAAAACACTTAATTAAACAAGTCAAAATTAAGTGACGTGCATTTTAGTCCCAATGTTGTTTTGTTCTATTTCGCCACGGGAAAAAATTCAAAACAATCACAGGACCGTTTTGCGTCTCTGCGCAACACACGGCGGTATTTCATTACTGAAAGACTGAATGAACTGAATTTGAATGAATGATTCAATGATTCGCTCATTAAAGGTATAGCGGAGGATTTTCTTTTTCCGGGTGGGTAGTCTATACTATTGGTCCACCTAAGTGTCAATCATTCTGGTGATATGTTTACGTAAGGCCGTCGTAGCCTACGTGCTCATCCCTATGTAGTTTTCACTTTCAGGTGTATTATTATGTCGGAGCTGCGGTTTCAGCCATTCCTTTGAAAATGGCTGAGGGTCGAAAGAGAAAAAATGTTTACGAAGTGTATGATAAGAAGAGAAAGGCCACAGAATATAGAAACAAGACCAGAGTGATTTTGGGTGAATATCACACGCTGGCGTGCGCTAAAAGCACAGGTTGGGCTTCTCACTGATGCCGCAGTCGCGAAGATTCTACTAGACAGGTAAAGTTTGTCACGCTATTTGGAGAAATCCATTTAAAATCACTAGTAAAAGTTAATGCAAGCTACTTAGCGATGCTAGCCCTGGCACGAGTCATGCACCGCATAGACACGGTAAACATCTCAATTTGTCTAAAGTAGCCTTTTGACCAAATGATAAATGGTATCACGCTGAAATATTCTAAAACCTTGTGTGTTCATGTGTTCATATTCTAAAACCTTGTGTGTTTATTATTACACAAATGCAACAAGCTACTTCTCCATTACATATGGAACTATGTATAAAAATAACGTATTATTAACAATGAGACATTAGGTTAAGGACCAACGTAATAGCACTGCTTATATGTTGCCATGTAACGTAATTGCGATTTGCAAAATAGTTTCCTCAGAACGTATTTCGTGTGATACAGGGTTGCAACTATCATGTCTTGAGTCCTCGGTCACTCAATCGATCAGTATAATAAGTAAATAAAACACGGAAGGGCATTTGACATGTTGTCTTTTTTATGAATGTTTTTGAGTTCGTTGTGCAAGGCGTAATAGGCGTTCCCTCTCGGGAGCAAGAGTGTTGTGTTTGTCCATGTGCATTTTTTAAAAAATTGGAGAGGGCGGGTCTTCTCTAAAATTCGGAAAGATCCTCCGCTATACCTTTAAGTCTGATTTCTGATTGAATCAGCTCAAACTCAATGGCTGCGTCTGAAAACTTGATTTGTTGCCTCGCTGCCCTATCAGACAATGAAAACTGATTTCGGACAGACGTCTGAGGCAGTGTTAATGTTTAATGATCTACAACAAAATAGAGCGAGCTTTGGTGAAAATAAAGTGAACATTTATTGACTACAAAAGTCATTTCTCGCTAGAAATGACATCATGTGGAAAACGTTGATCAAAAATGTACATTTACATACAAACAGACTACCAGCCGCAACTTTGAGACGCCATCTTTATTTTTCTAGCTAACCGTCAGAACGGAAAGCGCAGGATTGTGCGATATCAAAGGCAGCGAAGGATACATTTATGCAGCCTTCAAAAATCGATCAGATGAAGGTATCTCAGGAGACAGGAAGTGAAATGAACATTGCATTCAGACATGCCTTGATGCCTTCCGACCTAGGCAAGGCAGTATTTATCAGTTTTCAGACGCAGTCAATGGGTGCTTCTCAATATCCCTCCTCGTCTCCTCGCTCCTCCGTCCTCCCTCCTATGACCCGGAAACCGATCGAGCTCAGCCATCTTGAAGGACATCTCAATTCTCTAATTGCACCGTGAGGAGTCGAGGATCGAGGAGATAGGAGGCTTCCTGAGGAGTCATAAGCGAGGATACACAGGTGCATCCTACGCGGAACTGTTATATTGACTAAACGTGACGCACGTGTCAATTCTCCTCCCCCTTCACATCGGTCACAATCATTTTAATTTATACTTTACCTTTGCAGTTTATATAAACCACAAATCTCATATATTTCAACAGTATAGCCTATCTTTATTATTATTTATTATGAATTTAATAAATAACCAAACATCAACAACATAAGGGCAGATACTTTTAGCGCTGCTGATGACACTGTGGAGTGACGCTCGAGTCATCAAGTACTCCAATGTATATAAAAAAGCTTTTATTCGATTCCTCTGTCCTCCTTTCCTTTCCTCGCTTCCTTCCCTCGCGTCCTACAGGGGGTGGAGCTGAGACGCAAGGAAAGGAAGCAAGGGAAGGAAACGAGGACGCACAAATAAGAAACGAGAAGCACCCAATGACTCACTCATTAGCAGTGACTTGCTGCCACCTATTGGCAGTTTTAATTTTTGTTTTTTATAAATTCAAATATCAATATTGAATGTTTTATGTTTAAAATATCAAAACAACATATATGCATTTGTAACTGCAGGTTAAATGTATTCATGTGCCTCTGAAATGTGTAATTGCATCAAAATGCCACTTCAGATGCTGCTTCAGTTTCCTCTGCATTGTTGATACTTGTTTCATTTGATTGGTAACATTTTATTGATTAAATGCAAGAATTTGACAAAAAAAAGATGATGCATTTGATTAGGTTAAAAATGTCTTCATAAAAGGTCAAAATTGCCATAAAATGTAAAAATCAATTTAAGCTTATTGAAAAAGTAAGTCCACTGCATTTCGGCGAACTGACCACCACACAGAATATGAAGAATATCAAAAACTTTTACGAGTCAGCTGTCCACGGCAGTCCAAAACCTACCAAGATGCCAATTTAATAAACACACTCCGCAAAATATTGTCTAATTATCGTTGCTGTCAAAATCCCAGAAAATATCGTCAATATCGCACGCCCCTAGCATTATAGTGTATCTTGTAAGAAATACAATATCATGCTTGACTTTAACTCATTCACACTTTGCACACTTTACTTTAACCCAACCCATTTCATGTCTCACAGTGTCTCAGATTTAACTCGGACAGGGACAGGGAGAAATACACAAGTACAGCCGTGACAGGACGGACCCTGACACCCAGTGACCCCAGCAGCTCCAGACTCAGGAGGATGTGGAGGGACGGCGAAAGATGCCGTAGGAATGTGAGATTCGACGCACTATCTCTGCCAGATACACACTCCTTCAACGAAGTGATAGCGGAGCGAGAGCAAACGCGATAGAATGCGAATGTGAAAGTTCTGAGCCGAAAATCATCAACAAAGCCCTGCCTCGATAACGAGATTTTTTTTTTTTTTTTTGTAAAGAGAGAGAGAGAGAAAAAAAAGAGGAAGGGAGAGAGATTAGGAGGAGGTGAAGGAAAAATGCAGGGAGGGGAGGGAGCGAGGGGTGCACGGCCTTAGAAATTCTCATAATAAATGAAATCTTAGAAATGAGAGCCTATCAAGCAGAAATCAATCACTGGGGTTTGTTGTCCAAGAGGATGGCGCCATACTGAGATAAAAGAGAAGCGTCCGTCTGGGGGGTGGGGTGGGGGGGGTCTGGCCAATCACGCGCAGGAACGGTCGAGCGCAGTTCAGGGGAATAAAGATGACACTCGCTCACTTCCATTTGCATACACCCATACTCCCGTGGATTACTCCTCACTTTGAATCAGTGCAAAGCAGCCGTCTGCTCATTCATCCTCAATTTAATAGGTTAGCGCCAAGGGGGGGTGAATGATAAATTCAATCCCGTTTTACTTAACACACAATTCATTTCACTGACTCTTGAATCAAACCAGTTTGGAAAACATGCAACATTTTGTATGCATCCATCTACTGTGGAAATCAGCCAAGCGAGGAACTTTGCCTGTGTGTAAAAGTGTGTACGGGTCTGCGTTATCTTTAAAATGTTTGAGAGCCAGGAAACCTCTCCCAGAGCTGACATCACATGATCATCAGATGGACCTACATCACATGACTGATATTCTAATACAACAAAAGGCTACGTGTCTGATATTTTCCTAACTCCAATATGGTAATGACATGTTATTTGTTTCTAACTGTAATGTTAGAGTTATGATAGAACAGAAGTGAGATAGGAATCTTAACCAAATATCCTCATGACGTGATCGCTGACCCCTCACCCTTACCTCGTTGGCAGGTCCATCTGTGGTCTCTCCTGATTGGATGCTGCCAGAAAACGGACCCCACACTGTGTCACCTGACAGGTCCCTGAGGGCCAGGACCTTGAAGTCATCAGCACTGCCGCTTAGCATAAGATCATCTGTTTACACACAGTGGAAGAAGGAGTGTAAATATATCAGCACAACAATTAAAAGGAGGAGTGTTCGTTTGTTTTTTGTTGATCGCTAAGTTGATAGCTATTGCTCATACTTAAAAGAATACTGTAGGTCACCCAATATGAAAATTCTGTTATCATTTATCATTCCGTACAGTTGTTCAAAACTTGAATTGTATGAATTTATTCTGCTGAACACAAAAGAAGATATTTTAAAGAAGAATATGGAGAAAGGGGGAAAATACTATGGAAGACAATTGTCCCATCAACTGTTTGGCAACAGACATTCTTCAAAATTATTTATTTTTTGTTCAGCAGAAGAAATTCATATAGGTTTGAGGGCGAGTAAACGATGAGAACATTTTCATTTTTGGGTGAACTATCCCTTTAAGTAGGGAAGCATCGATATTAAAATTCGAGCTGATAAGCTGATAATTATTTTCATGTTATGGACGATAACCAACAAATGGTCACCATTAAAATTTTGTCTGAATAAATAACAAATAATAGGCATCACAAATGTAAAATATACAGCATGAAAACAATCATGTGGAGATAACAATTAACTGTTATTAAATTTTTAGTGTTTCTAAAGATTAACTTTCAGTGAGAATTAGAAAACGTCAAAGATAAATCTATACATCTAGATACATTTAAAAAAAAATCTAATAATCAACAAAAAATACAATTAGAAAAAATTTAAACGTTTAGGTTTCTAAATATCAACTTTAAGTGAACATTAGATAATGTCTAATTTAAAAAAAATTCAATAACATAATAATAAATAAATAATGATACAGATGAAAAAGATACCTAGCAAAAAAACAAAAACAAAAAAACACTCAGAACACCTTGGCAAACCATTTCTATTTCAGTCATTATCCTTAGGATCAAAAACAGACTACCCAGTCTAGTACCACTAGGGGGAGTTTGACGCTCATTGAGCAGTGACACCGGACCAAAACAGGGACAACTTCTGTACTTCCTATTAGAGATAAGTGCAGTGTGATGGGAGTCAAGGCTTTGGTGAGTCACAAACGCAGCAGGCCTAACACAGGAACAAACACAGGCTCCACAAATAGAGATATGACATGGCTGACACAAAACCCAACCATTCACTCAACCTAGTATTTATGTGTTATAATGCTCTTCCGCACATGTCCCCACTACAGTTGGTAACTTTAAAAGTAGAGTCGCTGGATAGGCCGACCTGTGGTGGTGCTACAGTCCATTCCAGCATCTTCATCCCAGTACAGCTCTGTTCAACCACCCCCTCCCTTTAGCAGCCTCGCTTTTGGGGGTCGGGCTAAAGTGCTGGGACCGATAAGAGTGTTTGTCTAACACTCTCCATGTCAAAACACTCATCTATCTTCTCTGTATCTATCCCCACCAGAGAACAACAGACAGACGCTGATAAAATGGCTTTCCCACAGCCAAGACGTGGAGCGGGGGAGGGCGTGAGGGAGAGAGGGCAACAGGAGCGAGAGAGAGGGGTACATAGGTGGAACGGGACGGATGCTGGACAGACACACGTCACCAGTGAGAAAGAGACTTAGCAGAAAATAGGGTCAAAAATGGTTCCAAACACAGTCATCCAATATGCAATATGTTTATTCATAAAATAATATATGATCACTGTCAGGACAGATCATAAAACAAAATGCTTAGACCGGTTTTAGATTTCGAATTCTGTATATTTAGTCTTTCTGACAAAATAAAATAAAAGTAACATTACGAAAAAGTGGCAGGTCTATTTTGCATTCACACTCATTTGACATAGTAGCATCACATTATGTTCCATCCATTTCTATGGTTATCACTGTCAATCGGATTCAATCGCACATTTAAATACAGTTGTCAGTCCTTTGCTATGTATAGTTAGCATGAAAATATATACAGGAAGTGAGCAATCACTGAAGCTGTGAGGTACAAAAAGCTGCACTCTTGCGAAAACTCGTCATAATCAATGAAGCATGTCTATTCCGTGCACTGACGTTTTAGTTTTACATCATGTTTATACTTTGTTGGTTATAATAAAAAGATATGTGAGTGTGCAGATCTCATCCTGAACAAAAACTCAGCCGTTTGGAGTGGTGTTCTAACTAACTTCTGATTTGCCATTGCGTTCACTCACTTAAAGGGATACTACACTTTTTTTGGAAATAGGCTCATTTTACCACTCCCCCAGAGTTAAACAGTTGGCTTTTACCGTTTTCAAATCCATTCAGCCGATTTTCTGCTATTTAGAAAAATATCAGTAACCAGACAGTTTCTGGTCTCATTGACTTCCATAGTAGGAAAAAATATATATACTATGGAAGTCAATGAGACCAGAAACTGTCTGGTTGCTGATATTCTTCTAAATATCAGAAAATCGTCTGAACGGATTCGAAAACGGTAAAACTCAACTGTTTAACTCTGGGGGAGTGGTAAAATGAGCCTATTTCCAAAAAAAAAAAAAAAAGTGGAGTATCCCTTTAACAGATATGTCTGTGTGTAATTTTCTAGAAAACACTCAATGCCGCCAAAACACTCTGTGAATCGAAACCTTTGACACTCTTCATAGAGCACTTATACAAACACTCACGGGACCGTTTAAAAGCAGCTGGCTATCAGTGGATACCGGTACAGCAAAACAGCAGGTATCATAACATAAAAATTCTAAATAAAATCATATTTGGCAGGACAAAGATCCATTCGAGGTACCATTAAAATATTTTCAATGCAGGAAAAAGCCTTGTATGAAAGGGAGTAATAAATGATTAGTTATAAATCAGTCAGTGGTGGGTTTGGTTCATTATTAATGAGAGGCTGGGCCTCTATCAGCGGTCTGAAGTCCAGTGTCATACATCCGCAGCACAGAGTCAACGACTGCTATCTACTGCATGTCTTCTAATCTAAGCCCAGCATCAGTACCCACCCTGACCTCTCACATGACCCAATCTTATCACTGCAGCAGACATTATTACCGATATATCACTGGCATAATTCCTACATAAGCAATTCCTACACCATCTGTGCTCAGCAGATGGTGACTGCCAACAGGTACATTTTCAAGAAATCTTGAAAGTTCTCAGTCTGAATTAGTGAAACCAACGGAAAAAAGTTCCAGATTAACAAAACAAGCAAAAAGATTTTAAGACCCTTTAAATTCTCGTTTTTTTTAAGTGGCAATTAAGGCCATTTTACCCAAAATTCTAAATACCAGATGTTTTTGCCATTTCTTTAACTCTCAAAAGTGTTTCTCAATAGAATCTATACAAAATTCCTGTAAAGCAATGGCAAAAAAGTGTAAAAATGAAGACGAAAAATGAAATATATCCAACAAAATATATTAATTAATTATATACACTACTTACTAATTATTATAGAGTTTGACATTAATAATATATAAGTACATAATAAGTTTTAACAATACATGAAAATGATTAATGGTAATATTAAATGCTAAACATAAAATAATATATATTAAACGTATAATTAAATATAGATTTTTGTTGGAATAATCCAGAATTTATTGTAAATGATTTATTCGTAAAGATTGTTTTCAAAAAAATTAATGTGCCCTCTTTATCTTTAATCCAAATAACTACCCCTCCCCCCTTTCAGCGACATCACTTCACTTCTCTGATGACGTGGCATGAGGGCGGGACAACCTGTCACTCACATCAGATAGACCAATAGCAAACCACAACAATTCAACTGTCCAATCAATTCACGATGGACAAAATCAAGTCCCGCCCTACACTCTTTCTTGTACAAGAAGCCATTTCACTCGGATATGTGTCACGATAGAGATTAAAAAAACAAACTATCGCAACTATAAGAGTGAAATGGCTTCTAGTAAATACATACTGAATTATTCCAAAACAGAAATTGTCCATTTTGATTTCATGGTGACTTTAAGTAAACAACTTTCCATCAAGCTAATTGTTCTCAGGGCCTCTGCATTTACGAGAACAACCCAAACAGCTTCTCTCTAGACCAAGAAGTCTTATCTTTAAAACCCTACCATTTTCCCACACAATACACTGACACAATTGTGACGCTGCCCTTGTGTTAGGCCATAGCAACTTCCCTACAATAACCCCCATCAACCTTATCGATAGCTCTGCGTGACTGGTTCCCAAAAATATACGCCACTCTTATCGATAGCGATGAGTCCACACAGCTCTTATCAATAGCTCTACACACTGGCAGTGTCCACACAGCGCCTTATCAATATGACTGCCTCCGCAGACACCAAAGCGGCCAGTGTGCAATATAAAAAAGAAAATCACCCCATCATTAACACAACACCATCAGACAAAACACAGACGTAAAGAAAGAAAGAAAGAATTCAACTGCATAACATACGGAGGGAAACATTCTACAAAAGCAGCAGTGTGGTAAACAGCCTGACGGCAACGCAAGTCCGGCAACTGGTCGTACTCGCAGTTATCATAGCCACGCGCTTCCTTTTAAAGAGGATTCTCCTGAGCTTAAAGGGATAGTTCACCCAAAAAATAAAAATTCTGTCATTAATTACTAACCCTCATGTCGCACCAAACCTGTAAGACTTTCGTACATCTTATGAACACAAAGGAAGATCTTTTTTATGAAGTCTGAAAGCTTTCTGTCCCCCAGTTGAAAACTACACAACTATCACTTCAATGCTTTAAAAAGTTCATAAAGAAATCATAAAACTAATCCATATAAATTGAGTGGTTAAGTCCAAATTTTCTTAAGAAACATCATAGTTTTTTTATGATGAACATACTGAATGTAAGCTTTTATTCACATACAGTATAAAAAACATTCATCCTGATAAACAGAAGCTCAAGCATGTGGTTCATTCTCGTGTTAGGGCCGGTTCACATATCGCGTCTTTTGCGCGCTCAAGTTCGTTATTTCAAATGTAGGCGCACGGTATGCGCGCTCATAATGGAAGCGGTGCGATGCGACGCGCTCGTTTTTTCCATGCGCGTCCGCGCCGCGTCGAGATA